AGGGGGGCTGGGGGAGCAGAAAGGGGATGGAGCCTGGTGGGTGTCCCCCTATGGTCCCCTCCCCTTCCTCCATCCAGCACGGAGTCTGGGTCTAGCTCCCTGCGGCGGTGAGTGGGGACTGCCTGAATCTCCAAAGCTCTCCAAATCTTTTCCGAATTGATTTGGAGAGCTTCAAACCAATTTGGACTTTTTTTTTGGTTTCCTGACTCGATTCAGATTCAGAGATTCAGCCATTGATTTAAGCTGAATCTCCTCTGAATCAAATCAGCACCCAAACCTTTGCACGGCCCTGGTAGCTCCTATACCCTCCTTTATTCAGTAGTCTTGCTTGCCATGTCTTGATGTTAAAATTAGTAGAAGAGGCTGCACAGAGGGCAAGACATTCTTTTGAAGAGGTGGGCCCTGTCTGGTCCAATGCTCCCTCTCCAGCTTCATCCCAATTTTTACTTTCACTGAGTCCTTTAGCTTGGGGCCCACTGCTCAAGGCTGCAAGCTCCTGGCTCAGCTGTGGTCATGCCCCATGATCTTGGGTTCCAGCTCCTGCAATATCTGCTATGTAGGCAGCTAGAGGCCTTGAGTTGTATTTTTACCCTGCCACCTCCTGCCTTACAGTCCAGACAAGGTCAACCTCATTCAGTCACAGAATGCACTCCAATCCTTGTCATCTATCCACTCAGCACAATTCTAAATTTAGGGTGTCCCTAGTCACCCCCTTTCAGTGGCCTCCCACTCCCCTGCAGCCAGAACCCAGCCCTCTGGGAGAAAATCAAAACCACAAAATGCAAGCACCAGTCCTGGTTCAAAGGAATGGTGGTAGGCTCCAAGTAGAAAGGAAAACAAAACATAAAATAACTAGGGTACTTAGTTTGCTTCCTATGTAGGTCCCCAGCTTCTCTTCACTTGGAGCTGCCTCCTGAGTCCTTTCACCACAATCCTCATGCCTGTCAGAGATGGTTCCATCCCCAACTGCTTCCACAGCCAGACTGCCTCCCCTGATCTGAAGCTTGGGCTTATACAGGGCTCCCTGGGTCACATGAGCCCTCTACTTCCCCTCCCTGGGTCATCAGGCTTTGCCTGCACCTGGAACTGGTGGCTATCTTGCTTTAAGCTCCCCTGCCTGTGAGTTTGCCTCTGGCATCAACACCGGGGCACAGACAGGAGAGATATAGAGATGAACTGGAAGCAAGTGAGAAGGATGGGGGGGAGGGGGAGGAATCAGAACCACATAAGCAGGAAACCAAGGGGAAGGGACCTCTACCAGGGACGGGATGCACTGGCAAACACATAAAAGGTAAGAGAGGTTGAAAAAATTGGGTTTAGCCTAGAGAAAAGAAGACTGAAGGGGAATTTCAAATAGTTTCATAGTTGGCAGGGTCAGAAAGAATCTGAGCAGATCATCAAGTCCGACTCCCTGCCATGGCAGGAAAGAGTACTAGGGTCAAACGAGCCTGGCTAGATGATTATCAAGCCTCCTTTTGAAGACCCCCAGGGTAGAAGCAAGCACCACTTCCCTTGGAAGTTGGTTCCAGATCCTGGCCGCCCTGACTGTGAAGTAGTGCCTCCTGATGTCTAGCCTGAATCTAGTGAAAATAAGGTTGGCTATTAAAAAAAACAGTCTCACTGTGAGGGTGGTTAAGCACAGGTCACATCATATTTACTCAAATCTAAGATGACCCTAAATTTAAGATGATCCCCAAATAATTTCATTCTATACATGAAAATTTTACAAAGTTGCTATAATTTTCCATGTATAGAATCAAATCATTGGAGGGTTGTCATTAATTCATCTCTCCCTTGGCACATTCATCCCAGGGCACATGTCTGCTGCAGGGGGCAGGCAGTGGGGAGGCAGGTGGTATGGGGAGGTGAAGCAGCTTGCTTCCTGCCTCCCTACCACCTCTGGCCCCTGCCTGCCCACCCACCTCTAGCCTTTGGTCCCTCCTTCCTCCCAGCTTCTGCACCCCCACTCTCCTCCAGCCTCTGATCCACCACTCCCTCCAGCCTGTGTTCTCTCTCTCCCCCAGCCTCTGCTTCCCATACCTAGGGAAAAATCTTTGTTTTAGCATTGAGTAAACACAATATTACCTAGAGAGGCTGTGAAATCCTTGCTAGCTTTTAAGAGCATTCTAGACAAAGACTTGTCTGTAATGCTTTAGACTGAAATGTTCGTGCCTTGAGCAGGGGGTTGGATATGATGATCTCTTGAGGTCCCTTTCAATGCTATTTTCAATGATTCCATGAAAAATTGTTTAACATGACAATTTTAATGAACTAGACAAAACCTTCTCAGCTTAGTTACAGTTAAAAGAAAAAAAGAAAAGATTTAGCTTGCCCGTCTTGGAAGTAATTCCCTCTGTCTGGCCACTTTAATCTACCTATCAGTACAGAAGTCTCCAGAGACTGTGTCCCAAGATTTCTCCTAGACACTCCTGTTATCCAGTTCTCCTCAGCAGTTTTTGAAAACAAAGCAGCAGTGTGGTTAGTAAAAGTGGTTCATTTTCAACCTTCTAAGAACAGCTCCTTTGGTGGAGCAGAAGGGAAAAAAATAAACCTGCCTTAATTATGATAAGCACATAAGAGATGCCTTTTCAATCCCTCCAACTATTAGTTGGTCTAATAAAAGATATCACAGTTACCCAAAGAACCTTGCCTGTTAAACCTCTCACACTTTAAAGTGAAGACTAAAGTGTGGAAAGTTTTGATTCATAAGCTGCTGTTTGCTGATGATGCTGCACTGGTAGCCCACACAGAAAAAGACCTTCAAAGTTTTATCAGTCACTTAATTTATGCCTGCCAAGAGTTAGGTCTTACAATCAGCATCAAAAGACCAATGATATCAGTCAGAACACTGATTCACCACCAGTGATCACAATATGTGAAAACATATTAGATGTTGTAAGTAAATTTACATACCTTGGCTTCATTGTTACCAACAACCTGTCACTTGAGGCTGAACTGAATACCTGTATTGGCAAAGCATCAGGTATCATGCTTGTATCATCAATACCCTTTTCTACAGCAGCAACTGGGAGAAGAACCCTATACCACATTCAGCACTTTAACTTCACATATGGTAAGTGCAGAAGGGACTGTCATTCAAGAATTGGGCTCCACAGCCACACTCACAGGTGTTCAATGAGCTGATGCCTCACTCAGCACAATTCTGTTGTCTCATGAGACAGATACCTAATGTGACAGCACGGTCCTAGGGGTGGCCATGAACTCCCCTAGCGCCTCCTACTGTGCCAATGTGATATAAAAAGCACCCTCACAATCTCACCCACCATGTCTTTGGTGTTAATAATGTTTAAGGGAGGCTGCCCTTTTGTCCTCTGACACGGTGCCCTGATGTATCCCAGTCTTAGTTCTATCAGGGGTGACTCGGTGCACCCCAGCCTTATGGGCTACGCGTGGCTCCAACCACCCCTGTACCCCACCCCAAGCCTCACAGATGTACCGGACGTTGTTTGGTCAATTTCCTTCTCTGTACCCCACTGGTGCTTCTCGCAGCCTGCGCCCCCACTGGCACTGAGGTCAATGCACCCCAAATGCGGCACCCTCTCTGGCACCGGGGTCCCCACGCTACCGTGGAGCCCCTATGAGGCCTCCTCCAACCTCTAATAGCCTCACCTGGTCCTCCAGTGTAACAACAACAAAAGCAATACCGCAAACCAATTGGCTACAACGCAAATCTAAGCCTCCTGGCTAAAACGTTCTCCAAAACCACACCACGTCTCTCACCCATGTAACTAGCAGCTTGTATATCCAGGCCTTTTCCCTTTTTCCACCTTCAGGGCCGAGCTCTTTCCCTTGGTCAAACAGTGCTCCTTCTGTCTGGCTGCCAGTTGAGAGAGAGAGACCACAAGCTCACAGCCTCCAGTCTGTCTTATAGTAGTCAGCCCTCCCCTTCCGTCAGCTGACTCTCCAGGTGTGGGCCCTCAGCTCATCCTGGTTGCCTCTAGCAACCAGCACCTGCGCCACTACTCCAGCGTTCCAAGTAGCAGGCACCTTAGTGCCCTGCTACACCTAATAAGACATGCCATTCTGGGCCAGACCACAAGGTCTGTCTCACCCAGCCTTCTTTGGGCCCGTCTACATGAGACACTTACTGCCAAGTAGCTTGTCACTACTGCGCAGTAGTGTCACCCGGCATGGACCATGATATGACGCTGCTGCGCAATAGTAATGAACTACTGTGTAGTAGTAATGAGCTACTGCACAGTGTCACTAGGCAATCATGCCAAAATGCTACTGTGCAGTAACACCGGTTACTGAGCAGTCATTTAATATGTGAGTTATGTAAGTACTAAATGACTGTGCAGTAATAACTGCACAGTGAGCAGCTCATGTAGACGTGCCCTGTATCTCATAATGGCAAAGAACGGTTGTTAAGGGGAAGTGTATTTATCCAGGGCCTATGCAGACAGATCCGTCCACTGCTTCTCTTTCCTCTAAATGCTTCCAGCATTTAAAGGCCTAGGAAGTTGTAATTTGGAGGTTGCACCCTTAACTTGTATGTTACATACCCACCAATGACCTTATCCTGCATGAAGTCGTCTACTCCTCTTTTGAACCTACATAAATTGTTGGGCTCTACAACATCTTGTGGCAATGAGTTCCAAAGTTAGTTTCATGCTGTGGGAAAAAGAACTACTTTTGGTTAATCTGAAATCTGTTTTCTAATAATTTTTTGTACGTCCCCTAGTCCTAGTATTGAGAGAGATAATAAATAATAAATGATATGTGGTTGCCTTTCGAAGTTTTAATGGCCTTGCTTGCATGCCATCCTTTCACAGAACACATTGGTTGGCCATAATCAGCTTTGGTCAGACTGAAGCATTTTTCCCCCCACCCACTTCATTTTTCATGAGTTATGAAATATGGATAGCATTCCAAGCCTTCTGTGAGCGTGATTATGGTTTTATTTTATGTACAGTTTTTCCAATGTCTGTAGAAAATTGCTTTTTACTTAGAGAGGAAAAGGTGTTTGAAAATGACCATTGGCAGAGTTAAATTTGTAAATTTTGGCATACTGAGGTATAGGTCTGGAAATATCTGATCTTTGTTCATCATCTTTGAAAGATGATAATGGATAATGCAGAGAAGACTGAAATAGTTAATGCCATTTTTTACTTCACTTTTTGAAAAAAAGGCATCTCTCATGTGCCAGGCAGACTTAGCAGTAAGGACAGGTATGTACCCAATCTAGAGTGGCAAAGGAACATGTCAGAAATTAGATAAGCTGGATATTTTCAAGTCAGCAGGGTTGTATGAGACTTATCCTAACGTATTCAAGGAATATAGGATGAAGTAATTAAAGGTCGAGTAACATCCCAGAGGACTGGAAAAGGATGAATATATTTCCTATCATACAAAAAAAGGAAAAACAGAGGACCAAGGGTATTACAGACCAGTCAGTCCATCCATAGCTATAAACAGGCATTGCCCTTGTGCCATCATAACATTTTAATAGTGGCAAAAATCCCAAGCAAACAGATGTTTTTGCCCTTGTCACATCACAAATACCCAAACTGTGGCTGTGACAATTTATTGTCATAGTTTGTGCCTCCTAGGCACTGAGGAAGTCTGTTTGCTTATGGTGCGAGAGTGCAGGCAGCCTGGGTCTGCCTGCCTTCTCCAGGTTCCCTGTGTAGGTGCTTCTGGTGTTTCAGGGGCTCAAATCTGCATGACATTGGTCCTGGGCACCTGATCCTGACCAAGTGCCCACATCTGCTGGTGAGGAGCAGGGAACTCCATGAGCTTCCCTCCTCTGCCATGGTAGACGTTTCCCAGGAATTCCCCTGCAGGGGCAGATCAGGGACACATCTGTAGGAGTGGAGGGCCTGATCTTGTAGGGGGATTTCTAGGGTACCTCTGCAAGTGGGGAAACCCCTGTGGGAAACCCTGTGCCAAGAATCCTATGTCAGGGGATACCCAGGGTATGCCTTTCACACTGCAGCTCAGGTATCATGCTGCCATTCCCTAGGTTGGAGGGTGGTGCCCAGGAACAATGCCCCACATGATTGGGCCCCTGAAGTGACCTAGTGGTACAACCACCCCCACAGCATCTATGGTTGCCAATGAAGTGTACCAGCTATCTGGGGACAGATCCTGGCATAGCTGACCCTACTCCAAAGACAACATCTGTTCATAACTTTTGACACCTGCAAAAACCGTGGAGCATGTATACAAAGAGTCTTTTTCTAAGCATACAGAGGATAACAAGATGATAAGGATTAGGCAACATAGGTCTATCAAGAGAAAGTCCTGTTTAACCAACTTGGTACCCCTCTGGGACAAGGTGACAGGGTTTGTGGTGTGCGAGGAGCAGTGGGTGTGATATCCATGAACTTTAGCAAGGTTTTTGACACCATCTCGCACAACATTCTTGTAAGTCGACTAAAGAAATATGGTCTTGGTGGAATTGCTATGAGGTGGGTGAGTAACTACTTGGAGTACTTGTCAACTGCTCAGTGACAAATTGGGAGAGGACAGGGGTGGATCTAGAATGCCTAAAGGGGCCGTGGGACATGACCCCTCAGACCAAGACGGGATACTGTGGGTGAGGAGTGGCTGGAGCCCCCAGGCTGGTAGGGGACACCATGGAGCTGGGCAGAGATCAGACATTTGAAGGGGTTTCTTGTGTTGCCATGGCTGCTGCTGTCCCTAGATAACCCAGAAATAGGCATAGCTCCAGAGCTCCCTACTGCCCTGCTCAAGCTGCATGCTCCAGGAAGCAGCTGTATAGGATGCTGGGCTCAGCTGGAGACAGTGGCAGGGCACACAGGTTCCTCTTTCCATCTCCTGTAGCTTGCTTGGCCACTTCCCCCCCCAGGGTGTCTCCCCCTGGCCAAGAGTAGGAGCTGGAAGGAGGAAGCTGTGTTGTTGCTGCTGATCCCAGATGAGGCCAGCATCCTGTGCTGCTGCCTAGTGCTGCCTGCAGCTGAAGTGGGGCAGGGGAGTGGCAATTCTTGGGCTCCCCCTGTGCCTGGAACAATGGCAGCAGCAGGAGGTGGGTTCCTCCCTCCAGCTCCTTCTCCTGGCCAGTGGGGATCACGGTAGGGGAATGGTAGGTGCAGAAAGAAGAAACCCACCTGATGTCACCAAGGTCCCCGTGGCATCCTGTGCATTCATAGCCCAGCGTCATAATGGTGCAGGAGATGCCCTGGGGCTCTCCCTGCACCTGGACCAGCTGGGGATGGCAGTTGCAGTGGAAGGAGGGGTGCATCCATAATGCTTCACCCTTCCTCCCCTGGATCTACCTCTGGAAGAGGGTATCAAGTAGGGTTCCCCCAGGGCTCTGCCTTGGGGGCTGGTATTGTTAAATATTTTCTTTAATAACTTTGGGGATGGGATAGACAACACACTTAGTAAATGTGGGGCGTATACAAAGCTGGGTGGAGATGCACGCTTTGGATGATAAGACCAGGATCCACAGGCAGAAACACTGTAAATGATTCTCTGGCTCCACTGAAGGTGGGGGTGGGCGGGCTGTGTGATACGGTCTGGAGGCAGTGAGCATTAGGGGATGGCTAGAGAGAGGTGGCTCCCTGGAAGGAGAGGTGGGATGGAGGTCCCCACCTGAGAGAAGACTGTCCCTGGGAGACTGCCACAGGAATTTTTATGAGGACTATTTGGGAGCCTGAGCACAAGGTAAGGATTTTGTTTGTCTTGTTTTACCATACCCTGTTGTCAAAGCATATGATCACTTTTTATTTTTTGTACTATTTATTTTTCCTTGTAATAAGCCCCTTCTGTTTTTCCACCTTTACTTTACAAAAGTGCCCGTGGTAAATCATGATTTCTGGGTAAATGAATAACCTGGGCTTACCTGTTCAGCAGAGCGGGGACCATTTGGCTTACACAAACCCAGGGTGTATTTGAAAGCAGCCTGACACCCTGAGGTTTTGTCATAAAATCTCTGAAATGAAGGAGGTAAAATCCAAGAAGGAAAATTATTACACTTATGATGGAACAATAAAATGGACAAGTATAAAATGGGGAACGACTAGCTAAGTTACAGCAATAAAAAGAAGGACCTAGCAGTTATTTTGGGCTCAAGCTGAATATATGCCAAAGGTAGTAATGTACTGAGTTGCTTGTATGTCATGGGAAGAAGTTCTTCCACAGTATTCAACAATGATAGGAACTCACCTGGAGTATTGTGTCCAATTTTGGGCACTGCACTTCAAGGAAGCCATGGACAAATTGGAATTAACCTAGCGGAGAACAAAAATGAGAAGAGGCCTAATGTATGATAAAAAGTTGGAAGAATTGGAACGATTTAATTTGGAAAAGAGAAAATTGAGAGGAAGATTTGAAAGCAATCTTCAAATACAAAAAAGGGGTTGTTATTAAGAAGAACTTTATAAATATGAGAGTGGTTCAACATTAGAACAGGTTTTCCTGGACAGGTTGTGGAGCCTTTCTTATTGAAAATGTTTGAGTGCAGGTAACACAGACACTTTTCTTGGCTGTCTTAGCAGAGTGTTGGACTAGATGACCTTCTATGCTTCTGTAACTTCCTGTGAGAATTCTTAAAAAACACAATTAAGCAACTTCACGGCAAGTAAATGAACAAATAATTGTAGTTCACGCTATAGATCTGTTTGCGACAGGAAGATATGAGTAGTTTCTCATTCTCTATGAATGTGAATGGTGGAATATCGATGGTCTGTGGCTTCTGAAAGGAAATTCACCATTTTGAAGTGCCACTTAGATAGGAATACTCAGACCCTGTCTTAAGCAGTCTGATTGAAGACAGGTTTAAACTATATAGGTTGGTTAGTTTGGAGGCTCCAAGCAGCCAACAGAGCTGCATTTAGAGAAGTCTGAATTATTTAAATATTAAATAAGTGGATCACTGAAGGCAAGCCCAGGACAACACAGGTAAACATAGCATCATGTTGGAGAAAAACTAGCAAAGGGATAACCAGCTATATCCCTCTGCCACTGACATTTGCAGATATTTGAAAATTATTATACAAATATACATAGCCCAAGTTATAGCTCCAGTGGAAAAGGCAGACTAGCAGCTGAGCAGTACTGCTAGACTAGAGAAACACAGCAGAAATCAAAGCAGATTTTACTTTACCTTCCTAAGTCTATTGTATCCAGCTGCTCCTGTAAAAAAATACAGGATCTATATAATCTATCTATATAATGTAATTGGACTATCCGAGTACTGTTATCCACACTGGCAATTTACTATCAGTTTGGTCAAGGACAGTCAAATTACTTAATTACATGTAACAGTTACTCTGTAGAGATTTAGGAAAACACAAATAAACGTAACTAATCCCTTCTTATTTATTCCTTGCAAACAAAAACCTAAGGTTTTGAAAGAAAGCAGTGCAATTAATATAATTAGAGATTGGTGTCACTCAAATCTTGAAAATGCCCTACGGGTATCTGGGTATTTTGAATATTTAATTAAGGTACTCGAGGAGACTGACTTCTAGAACATGGTAACCACTGAAGGAGGGAATCCCTGCCCAGTCTTGTAATGTTACCTTCCTGTCACTGGGTGGCATCTTCTGCAGGCCAGTTCCTGAAGCATAGCCATGACAAGATAGGGGTACCTTCCTCGATATCACTGTATTTGATAACATGCTAGTTTCTCTGTACTCCACACTTGCTAATGACCATCTTCCCTCTTGAATGCTATCACTCTTCCACTAGTCACATTATCCTTTCTGCTGCATTTCTCTTGTCTTCTAGCTACTTCTTGATTATGTGTCTCTTCTCCTGTTTGGCAGCCTTCCTCCATTCCTTCAAGAAGACAGCTTGTATTCACATATGGAGTTTTACACAGGCTATTGTTCTATACAGGCAGTCCTCAGACTTAAGACGCAATTGGTTCCTGAAGACCACGTCTTAAGTTGAAACATCATAACTCAGAACCAATTTTCTCATAGGAACAATGTTATAAATGGGTAATTGGTTCCTTTATGATGCTTGATACAGTTGTATCCAGTTGTATCTAAGTCTGTTGTGGTGGAAGGGGAGGGGGGAAGGAAGGGGTATGGAGGGGCAGATCAACACCCCCACAGCAGAGGAGGGATTGGGGCTGGGGCAAGTGCTGCACAGGCAGGGTGGGGGCGCGTGGGATGAAGGCGCAGCTCGTCCGTGGGGTGTGGGGAGAAGGGGGCGGCTCCTACCACTGTGCACCTTTGGTCCAAGAGCTGCTCGTCAGGCAGCTCCCACCACTGCTCCCACCACTCATCCGGGAGGGCCAGCTGGGGCAGGGCAGGCAGGGGATGGAGCCCTCCTTTGCTGCAGGGGCATTGATCTGCCTCCCCCACACCTCTTCTCTCTCCCTTTCCACCACAACAGACTTACCAGCTGGATGCAGTTGTATCGAGCATCATAAAGTTGAAACCTGTATCAGAACCTTGAAACATGGTGTCAATTTATAGAGGATGTAAGTGCTGTTTGTTGTAAATTGAAAAGTCGTAAGTTGAGGACTGCCTGTATGTTACTTAGCTAAAGCTCTGTCAGCTTTTTTGCCAGACCTGAGGAAGGGAGCTTTATCCCAAAAGCTTGTCTAAGAACTCTCCCAACTATGTATTTGGTCTAATAAAAGATATCCTATTGTATTTGAAAGAAGTCAAGTATCGGGACAGCTATCTGGATGGCCTAACTATGTGCGGAAAGATTGACACATATTGATATTTTAAAGTGAAGTAAATGTAACTTCAGAAGGAAGAGAGAGACTGACAATTCTGGAGTTTGATTCCTTTATTCATAAAACAGCTCACATAACATGTTGCCAGCCTATTCCTTATCCTGGAGCAGTATAGATCACTTCTGGGCTAGGGACAGAAATTACACATAAGTGATCTGAAACTGGTTCAGATCTGTAACACAGCAGAAGTTCAGTGCACATAAACCACTTTCAATATGGCTAAAATTGGTTTAAGATGAACCTGGATGGATGTATCATCAGACTTAACTGATGTAGGTTAAATAGGTTTATTGAATTTCTGTCCCAGATTCCTTCCAGATTCAAGTTAACTCACAGTCCCCCAGCATCCCAGGATGCTTTGCATTTCTCCACCAGCCCCCTTTTCCAGGGTGGGAAGGCAAGCCTTGGCCCAAGCTGTCTGCTCCAGCCAAGCAGAGAGGCATGCTCTGACCTGGGCCACTGCTGGCATGTGACTGCATTTCCAGAATCAAAAGTGAATGTCTGTTCTCTTGCTTATTGGTTCAATCTATGCAAATTAGACTAACCTGAGAAGACTGAATTGATTCAGCCTTAGGCTTTTTGACTGTCTGTACTTAGCCCTAAAGCAGAGAGGATAGTTTAGTTGCAACAGCCTTATTCAATCACAGGTGTGTCTGCTGAATCGGTATACTGAGGATGTTTTGTGTGGGAGAAAGCACTGGGAATTGGACTGAGAGCACCAAATTCATTGCACCTAGGTAATGAATATACATTGCATTTGTTACCTACTGTCACAGGATTTCTCTGCATGTGAAAGAAGAGCATGGCTGCAAGCCAAAGAAACTAGCTTTAGTTTTCTCAGGACATACTGCGATTTTTCTGTCAGTGCGTATGCTTTCTTTCCTTTTAAAGAAACTCATTGCAACAGGAATGTAAGCAGGGCAAGACCTATGCTCTGCATATCAAAGCAAGAGAGCTTTCACTGAATACCTAAATTATTTGTATTTAAAGATTGTGTGATTGCTATAATGTAATCCAGAGCCTGCTGCTCCATCCAGCTTGCAACCCTCATTGATCAGTAATAGTAGCCTAGAACAGAATTTTCCAAAATGGAGTGTCACCTTTGACCTCTAGCAGCCCACACCACATTCTTAAGTAAGAATGACAGCTACTTCACATAGGACCTTTGCTGCAGAATCACATCTTATGGGGCATG